AACAAGAACATCGTACTTCTCAAATGTACAGGGTGTTTCTTGACTGTGGTACTGAAAGTATCTATAGAAGAGAGACAAATCTCCAACCTTTTTTCGATATTCCAGACTATTGAGGTTGCAACTGATGTTCGCGTCTCCAATCAGGCGGATGGCTCTTTGCTGTATGGAATTTCAGCAGTGTCAGGGCAATGAGGCGTTTATTTAGCCCGAACTAGATTGAAATTATCAGATCCAGTGGCGTCTCAGTGGGCACCACAGCAAAAAATATGGAAAAACCAAGAACACCACTGACTTTTTTGTAGTTTTTCATTTGTTTAGAATAATTTAGATGGAATGACTGCTAATTGACAACTCTGACTTTCACTGATATGAAACCACAATCATTGTCAACTGGTTCACGAAAACAAAGCTAGATATGAAGAAGACACAAGCAACGAAAAATTTGTATTTTCAGTTGATCAATCTAAAAAAACCAAATACTACAAGAACAGGTCAGTGGCAATCTTTTTTCCCAATATTGTCGGCTGTACTGTCCCCTGAGACTCCACTGCACTGCAAGTTTGACCCTCATTAGAGAACTGAAATACAGAGAGGACAGCTAATATGATATAATAACAAAAACCAAACTACAACTGGCAGTTTAAGATGTTTTCGACTAACCCACCTTGTATCTGAAGAAATACAATACAGCTATGAAACTTTTAATCCGATTATGTAGGTATTTTGAGTGGAAATGAGTGACCAGTGTCGTAGAGTACATGATTAAAACATTAGTTACTTTAAATAAATAAATATATTAATATTCTTAAANTGATGATGTTGATGATGATGACGAAGCCATCGCAAGCAATCAAACAAAACAAGCAGGAACGAAAGGTACGTATATGTTTGTAGGAATATGAAAAAAAGTTACTCACGCACTGCACAAAATTCGCAAAATAAATATTAGAGACGTTAATTACTGCCGTAGACGCCGAAACACCAACGAGCCGTAAATTAAATGCGATTAAAAAATGTACTAAACCAAAAATTATTTTCGTTCGTAACAACTTCACCCTTTCAAGGCAAGTTTCGAATATAAACTGAAGCTTTATATTTAATGAATAAACACCTCAGGAACCTCCGCCTATGATTTTACGAGTTTTACGACCGTTTTATGACTTGGGCCCTCATTTTGTGCTATCGACAAATTATGAACGGACTATAGCTAGGGCTAAATAAGCGTCTCATTGCTTCTGATAACTGTAGCAAATTTCAACCAAATCCGTGTAAGGATATTTTATGAATACCATTTTTTTTTAGGTTTCAACGCCCTGAATCTCAGAAATGAAGCAAACGACCTAACGAATCACCCTCTGAAGTTTCGTACCGTTGTTAGGAATAACCCTGTATATCAGTTATCAGTTGTTTTGTATTCTTATGATTTCCTCTAGTTACTCAATCATCAATAGTCAAAAATGATTCTAAGAATAGGCTCATTAAAATGACCACTAATTGTCATAATACCAACCTTACTAAAAATGTTTCAACCATTTACCAGCGTCCGTCATCAGAAAACTAATTCAATAGACAATAGAAAATTATTCATTGCTAACTGGTCACTGAACAATTGTTTCGGAATGGCTGAATTTCATACCTTTGGAAAAGTTCTACTAGTTTCGCTAATAAGTATAAAGGTTTGGACAAGAAACAGTAAACAACCAGATATATCTAAGAGGGAAAGATCATTTATATACAGAAGAAATAGATATAGACCTAAAACTGATCCTTGCGGTACCTACTCCCCAACTAACTTTTAATCCGGATGTATAGTCAGTTTTAACCAGTTGGTTTCGTCCTGTCAGTCAATGAAAGTCTGAACTAATTAAACTCACCTTGAAACATTGTAAACCACCTTCAAACAAACATTAAAATTTCTAATTTTCAACTTTTTATTTCCTACCCTCGCCGACGCCCTTGATGTAGCGCCGTGGCGCTTGCGTTCCTACATCCCCATGACAGGCACGAGCTGCGTCCCTCTCTCACATCAAATGTTCTCAACAACTTGTCTCTTTTAGAAAGTTCCGACAGTGCTAGACACCTGGCGGGAACAGAGAATACACGCAGCCCTTTATTTCCGTCTTTGTCTGCCGCGCGTGGATAAGATACCGTTAGCCTAGAGAGAACCGTAATGTGGATGCGGTGTTGCCGGATATTGTCTGAAGGCAGGAATACCCGGAACGCAGGATATCTGTAAAATACCGAAATTTAAATTTGGTTCCTAGGAGAATTTTGACTAAATTAAAATGGGGATATGTTTACTACAAAGTGCTAGTCGAGTTCAAATCTATGCATGGGGATTTTTGAAACGATGAGAAATTGGGAGGGTGGAATAAATTGTTGAGTTGCGTATTTTTGAGTACTATTATAAAGGAATCGAGATATCGACTTCAGTTTTTTCGGTTTGGGAGATATACGGGCATATTCGAAAAGTTCAAAATTTAATTTTTTTAATGTATCATCTTCATAGTAGAGATAGGAGTCTCTTAACAGTTTATTTTTCTAAATACTTTGAAGAGTTTTGCTAATTCGATGATAATTACAAAAATTATTACCGTTTTATTACGGTCTTGATAATGACTTGAATGGTAGCCATTTCTACTCTCTTCATGTATTACAGACTATTTTCTAAACTTTCATCAAGTACCCGAAATGTACTGATATCACGAAACGTCTATATTTCCATATTTCCAGTCAGGTCTCAGCGAGTCGAAGAAACTCCACAATTTGAAAAAAACCTATGTACATTCGCTATTGTCTGAGAGTAAAAGAATTTCAAGAATGCAACCATGTCGGTACATCAAAGAAAGTAACGTAGCTGTCTCAAGCAAAAGGCCCTGCAATTCATACACAAAGTCACTGAGATATTTCTACCCGCTATGCACATTGAGGACGCCGCTAGAGAGCAATCAAAATANTTTATTCAATGTAGCTATTTCGTTTTTTATGTAAAAAGAGTGTACTGTTTTCCTGATACATTTCTTGACTTCTTCGTCGATAACCAAACACTTGCTGTCAATGGATACTCTCGGCTCCAAAGAGCTGTTGTTTTCCTTGAGTTCCTTAAGAATTCTAAAAATTGTCGATCTATTGACACCGGTCATACTCGCGCATTTTTGTACTACTTCCTCCTTACTTTTTATTTCGTGCGGATATTGTATTCTTAAAGATTATATACATTCATAACAATTGTTTTTCATTTATATTTAATGCTGACAATGTTTTTTCAATCCCCTTCAACTTGATACTTTGTTGGACAATGTCTTGGTTATTACTGTTATATTAGAAAATGTACATATCAACACATCATGTCGTACATGTCGTATTTGATGTGTTATTTTGTTTGTTATGAATGAGAGTTCACGAATAAATTTTGTATATTCATTTATTCAATTAGTTGAGAGTGAATTATTTGAATGCAGTACGCATTCAAATTATAGATATACTCTCATTTCCGGACATACTATAAACTTCAATAACCATACTATAAACTTTCATTCTTTCCATTCGGACAGTCATAAATTAGCAGCAAAAATTCAATGTTGCACAGAACATTCTCACTGCCTTCATCTGCTAACAATCTATAGTCCGTTCATAATTTGTTGATAGCTCACTGCAAGTTTGACCCTCATTAGAGAACTGAAATACAGAGAGGATAGCTAATATGATATAATAACAAAAACCAAACTAAAACTGGCAGTTTAAGATGTTTTCGACTAACCCACCTTGTATCTNAGAACATTCTCACTGCCTTTATCTGCTAACAATCTAGCTAGGGAAATTGATATAATTACACAGATAGGTCATAATAATGGTTTCATCGTAGATACTATCCAGAAGTGTCAGGAAACAAGGCCGGAAATTCACTTACAGATTAATATACCCTCAGGTCAAATAAACAAAAATCAAGAAATGGGTATCATATTTTGGAAAAAAACAGAGATAATTGCGAGTTTCTTCAGAAAAAACAATGTGGAAGTGGCATTCAGACCAAATGCCAGGTTATCTCATCTCCTTTTCAATGCCAAAGATAAGGTGGACAAGTTGGAGAAATCTGGAGTTCATAAGCTCAATTGTCCGGAGTGTAATAGTGTTTATGTGGGACAATGTGGCCGAAATTTCCCAAATCAGTATGCTGAACATGAAAGGTCCTTCAGACTAGAAAAAAATGATTCGACGTTTTGAAACCATTTCTTGGCATGCAACCACAAGTTTCCGAATCTAAACGATACGGAAATTTTGCACTAGGCAAGGAAGGATTACAAAGTCAATTATTTAGAATCCTTGGAAATTCTCAAGCATGAACATTGCGAGTGCAACCTGTTAAATGATCAAATCGATTTAGTTTACTCACCAGTTTTTAAATTGGCAGATCCGCATTGTGAACTGCAAATTCAGGCACTCAATCAAGCCAAGTACCTTCATTATAGCACCTACAGGGTTGGTATATAATGGCTAATGTAGTGAATCATTGTTAGTTTATTATATAAGTTAGAAAATGTTCGTGTACGATGAAACTGCAGTAACATTAGTTACAAATAAAAGTGGTAAAAAATATAGAAAGTGTCATTTCTCTTTTCTTCATTATGATTTCCTACCACGTAGTAACGGCTACATCCAACAATTAATTATATTCTACTTTTGTGGAATTACAATAATATAAAACATGTTCAAAAAATCGTTCAAAGAAACGTGTTTTATTCGTGAACAAAACATCTCATGTTCAAGTGATCAGTGTCGAAAAGAAAGCGGCTGTTAATTAATGAGTTTTGAACTACAAGTAGAACTTTCTGCCTAAAATATCTTTGAGTATGTAGAACTGGTGTATAAGCTTTCTTACTCGATTCGCAAGGTAACACCTGATTTCATTCAGTACATTACCTTACTTGCAAAATTTCAAAGGTTTTTGTGGCAAAATTAGATGTGCAACTGGCAACGTCGCTCGTTTTAGGTCCCATTCAGTGAGCTATGGTCGCGGTCGCGGCTGCCAGCAGTCGATGTTATTCTGTTCGCGTGTGTTCGTTGGTTCCCAGATTTGAATTACTGATCGAGTGTGAAGCTATTTTAGGGGATTTTTTGAATTAAACTCTGTGTGATTTCGGTCGTACGGACTTGACAAATAGTGCCAGCATATAAAGGGTCGTTTTCAAAAGGATATTTCTGCGATAGTCACTTGACGGCGCGTTTCAAACCCTTTCAATTCTGGTGGGTATTATTTTCAATACAACTGAGTCATAATCGTGTTATTCAATTCGGGGTTATCTGCTTGTCAAGGATGATTGTCATCAATGTTGTCTTCGCTTACGTAAAAGTGAGTGACACTTGATACATTTATTTGCGATATACGACCGACGTTTTAATGTTCTGATTTCATGCGGTAACGAATTTCGATTTTTTGAAGTCTTAAGAGAGTTAATTGTGCGTATTTCACCAAAACGCTACCTGTTTTTGTAAAACAGACCTTTCTGGCTGCTCTAGATTACAACTGCCTACGTATTTGAAGGGTAGTGCTTTTTTGCCTATAGAAACAGTTTACCTAGTAAGTGACACTAATTAGATATACCCTTCCGGCGCCCTTCTTGGTTGTAATTCAATTATTAGGTCACCCATCTTACAGTTTATGGCACAATCATGCCGCTGGAATTGCAAAGGCTGCTTCTCAAAAGCTTGGAACACTGTTCCGAACCAGAACATCGGAGAAAGGTTAAAGGTTGGAGATTTGTTTCTCTTCTATGAATACTTTCACGGAAAGTGACATTTGATTCGCATATATGTACGAAAATGGAAACTATTTTATTACAACAATAACAAGGAAAAATTAAAAACTTTTTGAAGTTTTTGTGTAGCATAGTTAATGGAGATGGCAATAATTTCAATTTTGAGATGCCATGATTAGAGATTTTGGTTTTCAAGAAAATTTCTAGTCAATTAAAGAAAAAGATGTAATACCAATTGTGTTGTCATTTCTCAAAGGGTACGTATTGTCGATTCACAAACTCAGAAGAGAAAGGAACATTTTGAATCGACTGTAGGATCAACTCAAATGCTTTCTATGAGTCGTTTCTCATGATTTTCAGAAAGGATAGCTAATGCGAACATAACCATCGTGAATTATATTACACCATTAGAAAATACTTAACTCTAATAACAAACTAATAAATAACCTTCCAATGAAGCGGTGTTCATTAGTTCAGATATCAATACATAAAAAGTTCAGATATAATAGGTTCTTCAAATGTCCTATAAATAGAATGGAATATACATTATAGATGTCAACGAAAATATTTAAATCATGGTGATATTAAGAAATACATGGTCCTATCCATTCGATTGTGAATTCATTCCGTGAAAAAGTTCAATAATAAAGTTGTATTGATTACATTTTCATAAGAATATCACCCAACCTACATTTTTAGGAATACCACAGATAATATCGACAGAGATAAATGTGTGCTGTTTCTCATTTCAAATACATACATAATTATATACGTTGGGAAATACTTGCGTTCGGTAAAAACCCATAAGATCGTTCATCATTGATATGTGCTGGATTTTTGAAACCGAAAAACATTGAATCATAGCTAAATTTCAAGAAAAACCCCAATTAACAAATTTCAGTTGTTTCATATTGAAACCTCAAGGCCCGGTTGTAGATGTCACAATTGAACCCTAGCTCAACCGAATTGCCATTATGAATTGGAGCTAAGATCCAATTCATAATGGCACCTAAGGGTCAGCCTGAAGAATCAAATTACCTGAAAAATGCATTCAAACGTAATGGGTACAGCGGAAGAGAATTCGAGCGGCCATACCACTCAGAAGAGAGAATACCAAAGCAACCCCAGCTAGGCCAGTTAAAGGAAAAGCCTTCCTTCCCTTTGTCAAAAATGTCAGGGACCGGATTGGTAGAATCTTAGTGAAACACGACGTGAAACCAATATTTAGGTCAACAAAAACCATCAGGCAAAGCCTCAGTCCAGCGAGGTTTACCAGATCCCTTGTAGCTGCGGGTGGTCTACATCGGAACCACGAAACGAAGTATCGGGATCCGTCTCTCCAAGCACAAGAGAAACTGTCGCCTCGAACAAACCGACAAGTCGGCTGTGGCCGAACATGCTGTAAACAAAGAAGATACCCACATTATCTTATTCGAAGTACAGTAATACTCGACAGTATCCAAAACTAGCACCCAAGAATATATATATAGAGGCAATAGAGATTCAAAAGCATAGGGATAATTTCATTAGAGAAGAAGAGACAAAGAATATTAATAAAAGCTGCCTACCTGTCCATAGAGGTACATGAACACTAATAGGTGATACAATTAAGAACGATATAAATGGAGCGCCCAGTACGGAAATAGTAGTTACCTTCTGATCAAAAGGAAATCTATAATGAGTTTGAAGAACAAGATTACCATCTACAATACGATGCTCAAGCCTGTCATCATGTATGCTTCAGGCGTCTGGGGACAAGCGGCGAAATATAATATCTCCATTCTGAAAGTGTTCTGTGTTCCTTAAATCTTACTTTGATAGATCTTTTTGTCTGTCCATAATATTTTGCATCGCAGTCCTCACATTCAATTTCGTAAATTCCATACTTTTCCGAATTCTCGACTTTGTCTTTTGGACTTCCCAAAAGGCTCTGTAGTGTATGACTTGTTTTTATGGGTGGTACACCTGGATGGTTTACCTGTATGGGATACTTATATAGCATAAATAGGGTTAGCTCGCATTAGTTTCTAGTATTAATCTTCCTCTTTGAAGATGATCACTTGGTGATCGAAACACGTGTCGAGGTGTTGAAAATAACGATTTGGTGTTGGGAAAAAACTCCAGTAATATTTCATTACTACACCAAAGATTCCAAACAGTGCATCATAAGTTCATTACCCATGCAGAGGCGCTGGCGTATATCTTTTGCATAAGTCATTGATCAAAGTTACATACGTTATAATGGAGGAATAACCTAATTTTTGCAAATATCGATTGTTGACTATATATACATCATATGTAATGACAAGATTATCATTTACAAACAAAACAATGGAATCATACTCACAATGTATGGCAATTACCACTAATGGATTTTCGATTGGATCTACTTCCATCAAAGTTAGGCGTTTTTTGTGTGTATACAGTATGATTCAATGAATTCATGGTGTCAATAACGTTACAACTGAATCAAATGTGTCTTTGAGTTTCAATATAGTTTTTACACAACTTACATTAATACACATGATAATCATGATGTAGTATTTAAACAAATAATTAGTATGCTCCTGTATGTGAAGAAGTCAGTCATTCACCAGCGTTAGGAGAATTTTGTAATTTATCTATAGCATTTGATTGCGTAGATCATGGAATATTTCTAAGCAAGTTACATCATTACGGAATTCTTGGAGTTGGAGTGGTTCATATTTGTCTGATCAAGAGATGTATGTCAAATTAGGCACATCAATGATGATCACATAACAAAACACACCTCGGGTTTGGCAGGTCTTCAGTATAGTGTTTGTTCCCTAGGTATCTATATTGGTTCAACGTTATTTGTATTCTACATAAATGATAGAGTATAAAATTTTCCGTCCGCCTCAATCTCCCTCATGATGTGGCCACACATCATGGAAGCAGTATCTAACTGGATTTTAGCGAATGAGATGGCTCTGAATTTCAATAAATCGCATTGTATGATATTTCAATTATAGAAAAACATCGGTAATATAGACATTGACTTATAAGAACATATGTCAATTGTCGATAACAATTCAAAAAAGAAAATTAGATGAAAAACTTAGATGTATCTGGGCTACTCCGGTAAAAAGAAACACAAATTTTCTGGTAGCTAAAATGGTTTGTTCTGCATGTTTCCATAGTGTTTTGCAACATGATACAGAATTTTTGGGGTGAAACTAGTTCGGCAATATGCGTTTCGTTCGATATAAAACCAAGCAAATCGAGCAGAAATTACCTCAGAAAATATAAAACATTTACGATGAAAAATACTTAATTTTTTTTTATATGTCAACAAAAATCGAAACAAAATACTCAGCCCATGAATACACAAATGAAAAAAGTAATAATCTAACAGTTGAAATCTTCAATATTTTGAAGTTTTACAAAAACGTAACACGCGTTTCGTCATACAATGGCTTCTTCAAGCGTGTTTTTACTAACTACATTCTACATATTCAGTGCTTTTTATACTTAATTTTACAATTTGAAGTACCTACATTTAAAGTACCTGAGGTTTACCTGAGTTTGTAATAAATTAAATTACCTGAGCTCACGTCCCAATTTTCACATTTGAGAAAATAGTAATGAGAAGGGAAGGAAATAGGAATGGGAAGTTATTCAATTCTAATTGATCAATTTGTAAATTACCAGAATTTTTGAATCTATTGATTTCTAAACATTATAGAAGATATTAATTGATGATACTGATCATTTCCAAATCCAATTTAATTTTTTTACCTGTGCTTCGCAACTGCAGGATTTGTGAGCTTCAATAAAAGTACATTTATGTACTAAATTATGTACTAAATGAAACATTTATGGTGAAGTTCAACGAAACTCTTTGTGTTCAATTAGAAAATTGCATATTTCACTATGAATTATATTGGGTTTTATCTATGGACTACATAACAGAATTGTTATTTTTGAACATTATCGTTACTCAACTAATAACACTGCGGAAGCCCCTGGCCAATTTGCAATATTTACACATTTGTCCCCTCTTAGTTTGTTAAATCTCCATGAATATCAGGAAGCAAGTTGCAAGATAGTCGTTTTCGTCACGTTTATTTATTTGGTTTGTTCGCAATACAAGGGAATAGGGACGAATTGAGAAAGAGGGCATTAATTGGGAACGTGACTGCAGTGTAGATTAAAGATTTGCTGACGAAGCATGTAAGCGGTGAGGATGAAACGGCTCTAAAAAACAATATTTCACAGCACTGAACTGTGTTTTTTTTCAATTAAACAAAAAATACGGCGATATTGTATAATTTTGTCAAACAGCACCGTTTTGAATTCAACTTACCCTTAATTTGTGTGCCTGCCCCGCTGGGGACCGAATCAGGTTTTTAGAGTTCGGCAGAGCCGTACTCTTACCATCTGCCTGAAAGACCACTCACCACACAAAGTATTCGGCTTCCTTAAGAAACTGGGTTTATTTGGCCGAGTGTGAATAGGTGTGAGCCA